GCCCACCAGCCATCTACCTGACCAGCCTGCTCGCACTAAGCACAGCCTCTGTAGTGTGTGCCGGTATCGTGCTCAACATCCACTACCGAGACCCCAGCCACCCCGTACCCAGGCTCATCAGGATTCTCTTCTCCTCCTCTGTCACCGACACCGACACCGACACCAGCATGGACCGGGCATCGTCCACCGATTCCTTCAGGTTAGCTTATGTTGATCTGTCCACCTGCTGACTCTTTTCTTTTCTTTTGTTTTTCTTTAAGTAGAGAAGCACATGGACACAATAATAGTCAATAAGTGCTGGGGAACAAAGCATGACGGATAGACAGAACAAACAGAATGAAAGTAAAGAAGTAGGATCTACCAAAGGCGCCCTCCAACCACCCGCTTGCAGACTCTTGGCTTTTTTTGTTTGTTTCGCTAAGCGTTTTATGGCACTTGCAATACAATTAGGTCATATAGATGCCGAAAACCAGAGCAGGCGTTACAAGAGAGTAACAAGTACAAAAGAGAAGGAGAGAATGACGATAGATATTTTATAATAATAATAATAATAATAATAAATGACATTTATATCGCGCTCAACCCCGTTAAAAGAACACAGCCTCTGAGCGCTTTTCAATACAGTACAACGTGCAACGGACAACAGTAACATAAAACGGTGTGTTCTGACTAAAGAAAATTATTCCAAATATCCATCTTTTTAATTTAAAAACAGAAACGACTTCAGCTGACATTTGAATGAATCAAAAGATTTGATCTCTTTTAAAGTACTCGGTAAAGCATTCCAGATCTTGAGGCCTTGGTATTCAAGTGCCCTTTCACCCATTGTTTTAAGTTTCATAGATAGTAAAATAAATTTCTTTTCGTCAGCTGATGACCTTAAACTGCGAGTAGGAATGTGCTGTCTTAACAGGTTTGATAAAAATGATGGTGCATTATCATTCAAACATTTGTGGCATAGGGTGGCCAACTTGTACACAATCCTTTTCTCAACAGAAAGCCAATGCAAAGTTCGTAAAAGAGGTTTAGCAGAGTCTCGCTTTCTTTTCCGTAAAACTAAATGTGCAGCATTGTTTTGGACAGTTTGATAGGAATGAAGGAACAGTCCACACCAAAGCACCCGCCAGATACCCACTGATGCTTTCCCATCTACGGCTTTGCAGGCAAGAAGGATAACTTGTTCACTCGAGAGAGATGATTATATCATTTGTTTATAAACAAAGCTATGGTATCTATCCTTCTTTGTAAGACTATGAACGGGAGCTCTCAGAGCCGCTTCTTACATCTAACATTTTAAAAGAACAAATTTCCTATCACAAAGCGAAACGTGAGCTTAAAATAATAATAATGATAATGATAACATGATGATGATGATAATAACAACAGAATAGTTAATATAATTATTATTATCATTATTATTAATATTATTATTATTACTTTTATTATT